ATTGTCCACTATACCCTAATATCAAAATAATCTCAAGAAATACACAAAAATAAAAATAAATAATAATTTTCCCTCCTTCCAACATTTTCAGCACAACATGCCTTTACGACAGTGAAGAGCGCCTGCATCAGCAGTCAGAGTTGCCACCATAGAAGATGGTTTTGCCGAGAGGCTCGAGGCCCTGGCATAGCTGCTAGCTTCAGCAATGCCTGAGGGCACGAAATACGCTCCATTAAGCATCATGTCACCTTCTGATCTCCAATTCCAATCCATCCACGTTTCGTTATTATCTGCCACTCTCTTTGTGACCTCTTTGGCAAAAGGATTGTTCGAAGCGAAAAATCTATTGCCCTGACTATTGATGGTGGGATTTGCACTCCCGCCGATGGCATACATCTCCCACGACGTGTAGTCGTTGTTTACCACGTGGAAATGCCCATGCCTGCACCTGTCAATTCCAAATATATTATTACATTACACCTCGTCAAACTTTTAGTCTACTTTTTCATTGTTTGATCACACTTTTCATACGATTAGGCACGGATTTTTCGTATTTGATACCATGTTACGAGTTGCACATAGGGGTTGTTATTTCTTTATATAATGTTTAATAATTTTTTTCTAATTTAACACAAAATTCTAAGTAAGAACCCTAGAGTTTATTAATTATTATTTACCTTGGCATTCTCTGGGTGAGACCTTCCCCAAAATGGTTAAAGGCAACAGTCACTTGCATTGCCCTGTCTCCTGTGTACGAGTCACTATGCCCCAATAGCATCACCTATTTTTATTTTTATTTTTTTTTAACGATGAATTGAAAGAGATAATAAAAATAATGAAAAAATTGGTATAATAAATTTTAAGAAAAAAAAAAGTGAGATTGGAAAAATTCAATCCACCTCATTGTGATGTGAGAAGTAATTATTGGAGATGGTAATGGCCGTCGAGCCCATAATCGCGTCAATCAGGCCGTCGGAGCAGCTGGACAGCGAATTGTGGTCAACCCAAATGTGGCTCGAGGCGAAAATCGAGATCCCGTCGCCGTCGGCCATGCCCCGCCACTGGTACTGCGACGGCGAGATCCGCACCGTGGCGTTCCCCGTCGGCCGGCAGTCGTGGATGTGAATCCCGTGGATGATGACGTTGGTGACGTACTGGAGCGTGATGCACGCGCCGTTGGCCACGTGGACGTCGGCCCCCCGGCCGTCGATCGTCTTGAAGCTGCTGACGAGGAGCTCCTGCTTCAGGGTGATGACCATGTCCCGGTCGAACAAGATCCAGAGGGGCCGGTCCTGGATGGCCGCGTGCCGGAGGGTTCCCGGCGGGGGATCGACCGGGTCGTCCGACGGGTCGGTGACGACGTAGTAGCGGCCGTCGCGGCCGCCGATGGCGGCGCGGCCGAAGCCGACGGCGCAGTCGGCGAGGCGGCGGCGGCGGCGGTCCCAGTGGCGGTCGCAGCGCCAGCAGTCGTCGATGGTGTTGCCGGTGCCGCAGGAGAGGAATCCGGCGTCGGCGAGGTTCCTCCGGACGGTGCTGTTGCGGGTTGACCTGTGGGATGATTGAATTTGATATTTTTAGCGATAATATATTTATTTAATTAGAATTCACGGCGTCAAACTAAAATATAAGTTCAAAAATTAAATAAAGTTCATGTAATTTGAGTTATTCGTTTGTTTAGCAGTTATTCATAGTATTAAATTCATAGTGCAATTTTATTTTATGGGAGACAAGACAATAAAATCTCTAAAGTTCAAGTAACCAATAATCTAATCAGATGTAAATGTTGCATTCCCTAATGATTAATGTCATTGGCACTAAATTGTGAAAAATGTCACTTAATTGTGAAATTTTAATTATATATTTTAAGGACGAACAAACTGCTTTACACACATGCTTTTTTAAAAAAAAAAAAAAAAATTGAAACGACATGAATTTCTTTACTAGCAATATTCAATCACACTTCACACAGTTGGGAAAAATTAAATTGTAACGAATATTGAGGTGCGGCGAATTAATTTGAAAATGGCGTTGGTGGAGTCAATTTCCTTTAATAGACAACACAGTATGAAGCTCATTTAATTAGGTCATTTTCCTCATGCTGTTGCTCTGCATCTGATTTTATTCACCAATTCTGGTCTCATGTGGTCTAAAAGTTAGGCCCGATCCAAATCTCCATAAATTTTTTAATAAAAATGTACACTTATGTTAATGTATACTCATGTTATGAAATATCATACTTTGCTTACATTGTTTTTTTTTTTTTT